CCTTGAACCCCAGTCGGCCTCAGCAGATGGCCGCTCACACTGAGCCTGGTTCAGCTGGAGGTTTCTTCCTGTTAAAAAGGAGTTTTTCCTCTCCACTGTTGCTACAAGCTTCCTTAGTGTGAGGGATTGCTGAAGAGTCAATGAGTCGATGCTATCAACTCGTTTTCCTTAGAGAGAAAACTTAGAATCAATCTGACTGGATGATCTAGGTGAACCACAAGGTGCCCTGAGATGACATGTGTTGTAAATTGGTGCTATAGAAATAAACTGAATTGAATATAACTGATAAATGTTGCAGGAGAAACTTCTGGGTCCTTCTGAACCTCCACACTAAGAAATTTTTTGCAAACTTTTGTGACACATTTATGCAGCGTCTCTGATACTTGTGAAATTTCCAAACCTAATAAATAAACAGTTGAAACAACCCCTCTGGGCTGTCAGAATACCCACAAAACTGCAAACCAAGTGCAAATCATCTAATCGTCCTATTTTGCTCAGGAGAAGAGCTCCACTGAGGAGAAACAGCAAACCCAAAGCCTGTCTGACATGCTAGCATGCAATCACAGCACAAATGTTCATCAGGGGGAGCAACAACTTGTCTCCTTGGGAACATATGGCCTCTTTGTGCTTTGCAGCGTCTTACAGCAGATTTATTTATGCAACACTTTCTAAGTTTTTTTTCTTATCTTTCTCTGTAAAAGCAACAAATGTCTGCAGCACTCATCCGTGCAGCAGAGCCGTACCTCTGTTTCACGCAGACGTCTGCGCAGGCTGTCGCTGGAGTCTTCCTTATTCTGCAGCCTCTCCAGGTCGCGCTCCAGCCGCTCTTTGGCCATTTTCATGCTCTGGAGATGGTCTGTGGCCTCGGCGCTGGCCTTTGACGTCTGGAAAAGGAAACAACCACCCATTAGCTGTTCCTTTGATCATTATGGATCCATAACAACCTAAAGAGGTGACATTTCAATGTGCTTCCACCTTTATTTAGAACATCTCCAGCACATTGTAGCAGACCATTAGGTGGACTCTGGGTCCAGCTCCAACTTTATAAACTCACTACACTCCTGATTATCTAATAAACTGGTTTGTCATAAGTAGGGCCTCCATTGTCTTAAAAAAGTATTCATATCCCTCAATCTGTTTATGGTTTGTCATATTACAGCATCATACTGTTCTGTATTTACTGGGAGTTTAGATTTGATCTTCACAGAGTCAAGACAGCTTGTTGCAAAGGACTCGGTTTGTAAATAAAAATTTGAGAAATTAAACTTGAAGTAACTTTGTTTCCTCAGATTTTTCTTTCAAATTTATTTTTAATATTGCAACTTTTCAAATTGTTTTTTTAATTTTTTTATGTACAGATTTCAAATTAGAATTTTTTTCAAATTTCTCTTTTCAGACTGAGATTTACAAATTGCTTTCTTTTCAAATATTGTTTTTCAGATCACATTTTCTTTGTTTCTGGGGACGGGCTTCCCGCTGGAGTGAAGAGCAGAGATGATTATTTATTGGTCTGCTGAACCAACGGCGAGCGTTTCTATAGAGCTTTAAGTTAATAGAACGTTATCTATGAAACAGAAATTTGAAAAGAATACAATTTGTAAAAACTGAATCTGAAAGACAGAAATTTGAAAA